AATCATAAACATTTACGTAATACAAGAAATTAGCAATCAATAATTCAAGGTTATTTTGTAAGTTTTGTACCAACGGAAGACTATGTCTACATTAAATACATATTGGCAACTTAAGCTAAAAAAATGCACTGTAACTGTAATCAGCTGCGAGAGAAGATGCCAGAAAGCGCGATGGATTCAATTTAGTCGAATTTGATTGGAAATTGGTCTCAGTTTTTTGGAAAGGAGCGTAAATTTCAGTGTAAAACCTATTAAAATTTTACGTTTCTGTGTGGATTTTGATGCTGTTAGCATTGAAATACTTGACAGTATCTCTGATGCAAGAAATATTGGCTAAATACATTTTAATTTAGAAATTAACGTCAATCGAAAATTCGAAATTACTGCTCAGCTGCTGTCAGGGCTATGTTGGTTCTTGCGGACCGATTGTTGCATCCAGTCGCTTATATTGAAAATAAAATGATTTAAGCAAGTATTTCTTGCATCAGAGATAATTCAAAGTTTGCTAATGTTAACAGCATTATAATACATGCAGAAATGTACATTTTTTTATAGATATTAAAAATTTAGGCTCTATGACTTGTATACTATGTCTATTATAGTCGATAGGATTTCAAATCAATGCATGCATTTAAATTCAAATTAGGTCCACCCACGCCCCACGCCCACGGCCAGTGTAGCTGTCAGCTCACCTTTCTTCAGAAGTGTGAAAGCTTTTGCCGGTGAAGATGTGTTTTACGATCGGTCCGTAAAGAAGCGTTGATTGGTTCAAAATGACATAAGAATAGGTTCTTTTGAATAACCTATGGATTGGCACCATGCCTGGCAGAGCACTGTATCTAAGGAAAGCATTCCACCTTGGGTGGAAAGCTTTTTTATAAGTGAATCTCCATTTCTAGAATTCCACCCTGCTGGGCAGAGCAGCAACTTTTTTAGACTCTTCCTCAAGTGCTTTCTTGTAACTTATATGTAGACCAGAAAATTATTATGCATAAGACACTGGTTTAAATCTTAAGTAGAGTTAGTACTTAGTAGACAAGTCAAGGAAATTAAAAATGAACTGATCATAAAAAACTTCTGGTTTGCCACTATGCTCATTTGCTTTCTATTGCATTTTCCTAATTTATCCACTTTAAAAGGAGAAAAATGGCATATTTTCACTCAAATTTTTTAAAATTTTCTGTTAACCTATGGTTTTAACCTGTAATTTCATAAAACTTCTGCTAAATAGGTATTCCAAATTGGCATTCACAAGTGGCTTTTAACCAATTTTCCAGAATGGATCTTTTAGACTAGTCTGTGCAATTCAAATTACACTAGCTAGTGGGTCAATAATCAGATAACTGTGCACCTTTTTTGGCAAAGAAAGTATTTAATTTATATTCAATTATCCAAAAAATAAATCGACGTTAAATCAGAACAGATGGAAACAACCACACTCACGGCAATAACATTGACGAACGTAGTTTTACCAGAGTACTGTAATCCAACTAAAGTTAATTCCATTTCTTCTTTCCAAAACAGACTTTTGAACCAATCTAATATTCTATTCACAAGGGCTAACATTTTGATATCGTTAGTCGTTACTGTAACCCACAACACCACTCTACTCAAAACAACACCCAATTCTTGACTAATCAGAATCACAACACGAGTATCTTTTTTACCCTAAACCAATTGAAATATTACCCCAATCTGCAGTAAATTTCTTTATTTTTTCATCACCGAAAACGCTTATGTGGAGTAGTTTTATTTCACTATCGATCATATACACGCAAAAAACTACATCATCAAGTTGTTTTAAGTTCGAGAACCATTTTGCATTAAATTTGCTTCAGGATATCTAAATTTGCATGCTGCGATAAGTCAAAGGCGCCATAACAACATAAAGATACACATGTGCGCGTAGGGCAACCTAATGTTTGTTGAGCCGTGTCTGTCGTGACGCACTTGTGGTGGGAGTTCTTAGAGCCAGTATGGGGTTAGGGACACTCGTTTGCATATATATACATGTCCTTTGCGCTAGCCAGCCATAGTTGAACTTGTCGAAGCTACAGCACCACAAATTTTTAAACGTTGAAGACATTTAATGCTACTATTTCCACAAACAATTCATTCAAAAATCCTATAAAGTTGCTAAATTTGGCTCAGTGTTTAAATTAAGCACTAGACACCAAATCGCCATCTACCGCGAAATTCAAAGCCGCATTTATACATGATTCTTAGTACATACGAGCACAAAATACATCAAGGAGGAAGTGGTACAAATACTACAGCAGCGATGATGAGGGTGGCTGTTGATTGCGATAAATCTTGAAGAACCATGACTTAGTTCTAACCTATAATTGCAAAATGTGTTAAAACAGGCATTACACGGAGATTGTACACGCTTGCCAATGATTGCAGTTGATTACTTGACCACATCAGTGGCATCGGGCAGTTACATTTCGTAACTTCGTAGCAAGCTCTCCTGACTGTCGCTAATCGTGCATCAAGCACTTGGCAGACATGTAGTATTTAGGATTTTCTTCCGCAGAGAAACAAGTGTTAGTAGCTACACTATTAATGATGGATTTCTCTGCAGATTTCTGACTACCAAATCCTTCAGTGGGTTATTTTCTCTCATGTTATTCTATTGAACGAAGCTCTCGCGAATACATTTCTTAGATTTCGCATGAAAATTATCCGCCTTCTATTTCAACAATGGCTTTCAGAATATTTTAGCCTTGCGCATCTTGCGCAGCAGCGGGACACAGGAAGGGACATAGGATCGATTGCCACGCGTTATTCCAGCTCCGCGTTAACGAGAGATTTTTTCGATATATGTATACGAACGAGATGTGTATTGGCTCGATATACTAACACAAAGGACGTGTATTGGCTAGGTATTTGTAATCAAATGCGGTGAATATTAGCTCGATATATGCAGACAAATTAGATGTGTATTGGCTTGACATATGCACACAAATAATATGTGTATAGGCTTCATGACCATCACTGGACGCATCAGAAAGAAAATATTGCCAGCGACCTCCCTCGATGTCGTCACCGCCTAGCGGCTTGAACGGATTCTGGACAGATCAGCAGCAGACAGCTCGGCGATTTGGGGCGGTGGAACTAACTTACCAGATTTTCTTTCACCCAGCAGGAGGAGATCGCACTACGGGGCAATTCATCAAGACCTGCGCTGGTGGGACTTGTGAGGCGGCCGTGCCTGTACTTGGATTGCAGACCGTGCCCGTGCCTGGAGCGCAGGCCGTGCCAGGGGTGGAGGCCGTGTCGTGCTTTGAGTGCAGGCAGCGAGGTCGTGTCCTAGAATGACTCAACTGGCTAACGAATGATTTGTTCAGGGGAGACGCATGAGCAAGATGAGAGAGGATAAAATGTGACATGAAATGGAGTAGAGGGAGCTGAGTATATGTTAGCAACACGGTTTCGTTAATGTAAAACAAGATTTGAAGAAATGAAAGCATGAAGCAAGTGTGGACGTGAAGCACGGGACGAGCAGGCATGAGGCTCACGTGATGTTGAGGTTGCAATAGTGCGTGCAACGATGACCATGGTTGGCTGGCTGTGGCTTTAAGAAACCCCGTTGGCCAATCACAGAGCGTCTTGCATATCGCAGGCGCTCGAGGCAAGGTGTCTTGTTGAGTGAGGCGGAGTGTGGCTGAATGTGGCGCTTTTAGCTGAATGTCCTGTGCTGAAGATATCGCACATAACAATTTTTTAAACTCTAGATTCATGCATGTCCCGATCTCGATCATACTTTTTTATCAGGGCAATAACAAACTGGTTATTGATAAAAATATCGATTATTTTGGGCATGTAGAAGTAACCTCTATCGAGGTATCATCGAAAATTTCAGAATCACTGCACCTCGTATTATAAGTATTTCCTATATCCTATTTTGGATATAAATTTCAGTAGGCGGCAGTATTTTGAAAGCTAGCTCATTCCACGGTACCTGTAACCAGCGGAATATGTTTTCGTTTGATTTTATTCAATTTGAGTGACTTCATCAATGATAGAGCCAATGTGAAACATTTCACGATAATAAAAACATCCCCGAGTTAGAGCCAACGTGGCTGATAATGATAGAAATGTGTGGCTGCTGTCACATGCTAGTGTGACAGTGTGACCGAACTCAGAGGTCCGTTGAAGCCAGAGTGGCAGTGTGCGGTTAGGCTCAGTGAAGTGAGGGTGTGAGACATCTTTTGTGCGTAAATCTCTTGTGTGCTCTAATCGGCCGTTTTCAGAGCCATTATTTCAATATGAACATAGAGATGTTATTAAGTGCCGCTGAATTCGTGGAGAGGAGAGATAGAGGTGAGTGTTGGGTTATATATTGACATTCTGGGGTACTTTCCTTTGTTCACAACGCAGCTGATTCCTCATGACCTGTGTTCGTACGAACGCTTGTTCTACAGGTCACAGTTGCTACCTAGAAATACAATAAACTCTAACACTGAGCGTAATACATTTCCTTCCTTCTCTGCAATGCTCTGATGTTCATGATTTCTTGTGACCGCTTAACCCCTTGCTTCAAAATGGCGTGAATATCAATTTCCGCTTGCGAGGTCGTGGCGTACACAGCGCTCCGGCGAACGTTTGCGTTGACGGAGTTTGCGTCGAACTCTACTTCTATTATTCCTATTATGAATACTGTCCATCATACCGCACTGTGTGGTGCTTGTGGTGAACACGAAGTGAATCGTGCGTGTTGTTGTGATAGTGATTTGGTGGTGTGGCGGACTGGCGGTGAAGTCTTGGCTGGTGAGCTCTGGCGTGGTGGTGACGTGGTGGTGGTGACTGGTGAGGTACTGACGTTGTGGTGGTGAGGTTGCGACGTGGTGGTGGTGTGGTAGTGACGTCACTGACGTGGTGATGGTGTGCTGGTGACGTGGTGGTGGTGAGGTAGTAACGTGGTGGTGGTGTGGTAGTGACGTTGCGATGGTGTGCTGGTGACGTGGTGGTGGTGAGGTAGTAACGTGGTGGTGGTGTGGTAGTGACGTGGCGATGGTGTGCTGGTGACGTGGTGGTGGTGAGGTAGTAACGTGGTGGTGGTGTGGTAGTGACGTGGTGGTGGTGTGGTAGTGACGTGGTGGTGGTGTGGTAGTGACGTGATGGTGGTGTGGTAGTGACGTGGTGGTGATGTGGTAGTGACGTGGTGGTGGTGTGGTAGTGACGTGGTGGTGGTGTGGTAGTGACGTGGTGGTGATGTGGTAGTGACGTGGTGGTGGTGTGGTAGTGACGTGGTGGTGGTGTGGTAGTGACGTGTTGGTAGTCTAGTACTGTCGTGGTGGCTAGCATTTCTTCCACGTATTTCTTCAAGCACGCTCAGTCCAAGGCTAAAATAAAGGCGCCTGTGGGCCCGCTGAAGAATAACGATGTCGTCGTCGATGTCAGGGCATGTGTGAATAGCTGGAAGCGCTGTTTGAATCTGTGTTTAGCATCTTCGCCACCAGACAGGACTATGAAATTGAAGTCGTCCAGTAGCTTACAGGGGGAAGGGACTGGAGAACATCGAGTTTGGACCATAAGACATCGATAGAAGCATCTATAAGAACTGGCGACGTTTTCAGCACCAGAGCCTGATGGATTTTCGGCAGTGCTGCTGGAAAAGTATTTCAAAGCACTGAAGGGTCCGCTTACAATGCTCTGGAAGGCCTTGTTAATGGAGGAAATTGTTCTTGAGGGCCTCAAAGTGACAACGCCAATCCAAAAAGAAGGTCCGAGAGTCCAACCCCAAAATTGCAGACCTGTGATCTTGATGAAACGCGTGATCAAGGTGTTTGAGAAGGTAGTGTCCAGGACGCTTGTCGAGTATATGGAAGAGACTGGAACAATAATAATGGACAACACAGTTTTTGAACAAGTCCAACGTGTTTGTCACTGTTGTAGGAGCGCCTCCACCTCCTTGTGGTGGCCATACTGGAGGATGGAGCTGGAGTTGACGTGCTTTACCTTTGCGATATCCTTTGACAAAGTTGACTATGGGGTGCAATTCGAAAAAACTTCATGACAGTGTACAAGCTGTCGCAATCGGAAATGCTTAATCGAGTGAAGAGAGAGTAAGAAGCGGAGTGCCACAGGGCTCTGTGCTTGGACTGACTCTCTTCCTCGATCATCCACATCGGCGACATCGACTCGGAACCGACCTACGCATTTACATCAAAATTTGCGGACGATACAAAAGTTCTGACGAGGATCACAGACGACCTACCTGGCCTGCGAGAGGTTACAGGATGACCTGTCGACTATATCTACGGCCTGGCCCTAGTGTATAATATGTATTTCAATTGCATCAAGTTTGTAGTGACGAGGTAAAGAATAGGGATAGAAGTCGTATTGCAGCACTAGGTACTACTTCCATCGGACGTCACAGAAATTGATAAGAAGCGACTAATTCGTGATCTCGGAGTGTAGATGAAGTACAACAGCTACGTTTGAAGTCTCACTAGAGACATCCAAGAAACGACTGCATGCATTTTGGAGCGCGACTCCGAATCTTCAAGTTATGCTACCACACAGCATCAGCTGGCCCAAAGAGGACAGATGAACAATAGTCACGGTCAACCTAAACTCCGGGCCCTGGCGGCGGCGCACTCTGGGCATGCATGCCGCCAGTGGTCGGTAACAGGGCGACCTGCCCATGGACGGATTGAGGACGGTGGACGACGAAGACGGTGCATCAGCGTGACCGTGGACGAGGATGTCCTAAACGTAGTGAGGTGGCTTTGTAGCAGTGGCGACGACGCGACACAACCTAGCGCTCCTTTCCCTGCGCCGCGCCACTCGGCATATGTGGCATACTGATGCAGCAGTGATGTGTGTGGCATACTGATGCAGCAGTGATGTGTGTGGCATACTGATGCAGCAGTGATGTGTGTGGCATACTGATGCAGCAGTGATGTGTG